AGGCGCCTAATAACAACAGCAGCAGAAGCTGAGCGTCCCATGCCCACCCACCCCGTTCTCCTGAGTCCTTCACACAGGAGCTGCTGTCCATGCTGCCCCTGAGAATACCCAGCAGGGGTCACTGGTGCCTTCCCAATAGAGCTCAGATCCCCAATATTCTTGCATGCACTCAAAACTCTCTGTGACACATGACAGGAGTGAATGACTCCTGGAAACCGTCGACTGATTTCAGTTAATTCTCATTCATTATTATATGTCATGCCAAGCCATGTTACGTCATATCCTATCATACAATATATGTATCTATATATTGGGGGAGTCTCTGGGTGTCATAAATGGTTGAGTCATTGACTATGAGTTGAAAGGTTGGAGCATCAGAGGAAGATAGTCAGGAGATCGACTTGTGAAAGTTCCCAGCCTTGAAAACGCTGTGGAGCAGGCTTACTCTGCACCCATTGGGTCATCATGTGTCCGAACCAGCTCAAAAGAAACTAAAGTGTGTGTTTGTGTGTGTGTGTGTGTGCACATGTATATGTGTATACGTTTATACGTGTGTCAGTATATATGCATAAATATACATATGTACATGCATGCATGTGTGTGTGTGTGTGTGTGTAACACAGCCAGTGAAACTTTGATGCTTTGATTTTGTTCTTGTTTTCATGTTTAAAATATTTGACTTTTTCCTTTTATGCTATAGTCACCCCTTTCTGGTTTTGGGTCTTGAGTCTTGCTTCTCATCCAATATTATAACTACTGTTTTATAACTGATGTTTCAGACTATTCCCATTTAATTTGGATGTAAATCTCCTAGCATGCTAGTTGTTTTCTATTTCCTGAAGAACCTTTATTTTTACTCCTTGTCATGGATTTAATTACATCCCCCCAAAATTTGTGTCAACCTGCGTTGGCCATGATTCTCAGTGATGTATAAATTATGTCATGATGTAATGTGGCAGATATGTAATGATATTCCATGATGTGATCTTATATAACCAGCTCACAAGGTGAGATGTAACACCCTTAGTCTCATCACAGCCCTGATCTGATGTAGCAGGGGCTTCCCTGTGGAAGGAGGGCAGCACACATTTATCTTATAAGAGATAAAAGAAGAAAGAAAGGAGCAGAGACAGGAGAATTACAACAACCAAGGAGGAGGAGCCAGGTGTGGATTCCATCCTCTGATAACAGGATCTCTGCTCTGAGACGATTCTAGGAATGAGACACACTGAGAAACACTTCCCATGAGCCACCACTCTGTACTTGAACTTCTAGCCTCTTAAAGTGTAAGCAAATGCATTTCTTTTTGCTTAATCCATCTACTTGTGATGTTTCTGCTAAAGCAACACTAAAGAATGAAGATACCCTTGTTTCACTTATTTTATCTGTTACAACTTGTCTTAAATTAGCATTTTTAAGATATCATTAATATCCCTGCTGTTATGTTTTCATTATATGTCGTCAAGTATGACCTGTCTCATTGAGAGCCGTCCTTGGGTTTCTGAGGCAGTATCACTATGGAGGAAGATTGTCCCATCTTCCTTCTGAGGAGTGGCTGGTGGGTTTGAACAGCCAGCTTTCCGGTTAGCAGTCAAGTGCCTTAGGCACTATACTACTAGAGCCATATCCCTGCTGGTAATTTATTTTTATTTTTTATTTCCTCTTTTATATTTTTTCTAATGTTTCTGGTTAGGTTAAAAAAAAAAGGAAGAAGAAGAAAAGAAAAGAGAAACTGCTGTCAAGGAAATTCTAACTCCTAGCGACCCCCATTGGGTTTCCAAGGTGGTCAATATTTACAGAAGTAAACTGCCCAATGTCTCTTCCGCAGAGTTGCTGGGGGGTTTAAACCGCCAACCTTCTGGTTAGCTGTCAGATGCCTTAGGCACTGTGCTACCCGAGCTCCCAGGTTTCCAGCACGCCTTTACAGATAATCTGACTTGGCCTCTGATGTACCTCTTTGAATGAAGGGTAAGGTCATTTCCACACTGTTTTCCATTTCTCCCATCCCATCTCTTGTCCCTTTGTTTTCTTCCATTCACTTTTGCATGTGCTGTAAATAGAGAGGTTCATTATTATTGTTACAATGAGGTTAGTGCTCTTCCACAGCAGTTGAAATGAATGAAAGTGGGAAACGTCTTCACTTTATCCCTTATTCTTGGAGAACTTCTTCCATAATCTTCAAGATGAGCAAACTGACCATACATTTCCTCAGTTTGGTTAAAGGAAATCTTCCATTCTTAAAATAGGTTTTCACTGGCTACAAGGCTCTGGGCTTTTTTTTTTTTTTTTTTTTTCCTTCCAGCCCTATAGGGACATCACTTCATTGCCTTGGTGCTTCCATACTTTGGATGATGAGAGAGGGATAATATTTCCTACCACTCTCCGAGAAACACAGTCTTCATCCTCTTTGGCTGACTTTAAGATTTTCTCTTTGCTTTCAGATGTTTCAATACGATGTCTGTCTCTCCCTCTCTTGCCATGTGTGGGTGGATGTGTGTGTTCATCCTTGCTCTTCTCTGGTGTTCTTGGAGCAGAGATTGTGTATCTCACTGATTTTGGATAATTACGGGCTATTATCATTTCTCCATACAGTTTCCCTCCCTCCCCTTTCTTGTTTCTCCTTTGTGATACCCCTTAACTGGTATTGCTCTATTTTATATCGTCCCGAATTTTTGAGTTTCTGTCTGTTTTCCACATTCTTGTTTCTCTTTGCATTTCAGTCCAGTTACGTGTCTTTCACTGGACTTTTGTATAGCTGTCCAAATTCTGCACAGCTGGGTACACGTAGGGAGATCTGGTGAAGTACTTGTCAAGGCATTTGGCTGCTAACCAGAGAGATCTTGATTTGAACCCACTGGTCACTCTGAAGGAGAAAGATGAGGCAGTCTGCTTCCATAAACATTTACAACCTTGGAAACCCAATGGGTATTGCTATGAGTCAGAATCCAATAGATGATTGTGAGTTGTGGGTTTTTTTTTTTTTTTTTGTGTGTGTGTGTGTGTGTGTGTGTCTTTGAAGGTCCCAAGTTCCCAAATAAACTTCTATCTGGAATTTTGACCTATCCTTTCAATCTTCTTGTTCTGCTCCAGGCAGCCAGGGGCTCCTCTGTTTGTATCACTCTACCTCAGTCTATGCCTGTAACTCCACTCCCCTAAGTTAGCGACAAACTGGCTGAGACCAAGAGGAATGCTTTTGTTCAGTTATCTAGGTGGTTATTCAACTGATTGTCAGACAAGCACATACACTGTACTTTTTCAATATTTTTTTTTTCCAACTCATTTAAGAGCCACCTTTGAACATATCAGTCACAGGTATTATAATTCCTGCATTTAAATTGGTATACCAAATGTGGCACATGTGAACGTCATCTGGTCAGTTGCTCATTGAGAGTGTGTTTTGTTTGTCATTAGTATACTCCATGATTTTTCTTGAATGCCAAATGTCCTGAATAAGAGAGTAGATATTCATGTATACATGAAAATAAAAGAATATAATTAAGAGTTCTTTGGTGGTGTAGTGCCTAAGGTATTTGACTGCTAACCAGAAAGCGGGTGGATCAAACTCACCAGCTACTTCTCAGAAGGAAAATTGGGCAAACTGCTTCCATAGAGATACCACCTCAGATACAGAAGGCATGGTTTCTAAGTGTCGAATTGTGTGTGTGTGTGTGTGTGTGTGTGTGTGTGATTTATTTATTTTATTTTTTTTCTGCACGGATATTATTACATTCTTCCTATGTCATCTACAAGTCACAGAGGATTATTCTCTGGCTTTGAAATGCAATTAACCTTTCCTTGTCATGTGTTTTCACCCTCTAGTGCTGTTCTCATAGAAAACACCACAAATGAGTCGGTGTATTTATTCTCTTACACTTTTGGAGGCTGGCTTTCTGAGTTCAAAGTGCCAGGGTCTAGGGACTGGGTGAATTGCTCTCAGTTTTTGGTTTCATCCCCATCTCTTCCTCCAGGCCCATTAGTGCTGGCGGCATCTCTTCATTCAGGTAGCTGTTGGTGCTGTGGCTGACAAACACAAGGTCAACAAATAAAATGGAACAGTGTGAAGATTACCAAACAATGTAGCAGGCCCCTAGTTCAAATCCAGAGACAGTCCCAAGATCAGTAAGAAACATGGCAGGCTGCTGAATGAAGACTCAGTTTCATGCAGGGTAGAAGCATGCCAAAAATTGCAGGGGCTTTTCACAAAATTTCTGCTTATTTCCTGGAAAGAGACCACATCCCTAAGGCAGGTACTCTGCCGCTGCAGTAGATTCCACCATGGAGCTGATTACCAGTCTCATCATGGGGAATAATGACACCCAGCAGCCCAGGCAACCAAAGCCAGGCCCAACCAGGTCGATACACAACTTAACTTCCACACTGCACTTCAGACTTCCTCAGGAATAGCCCATTCTTTCCTCATTTTGAATGGTCCTCAGAGTCCACCTGTGTAGACCCTGGGGCTCTGTACATTCTTCAGACAAACCCTAGACAAACAGATCCATGCCCTGTTTCCATTACAGATCGGGGTTTTGGAAACCTCATGAAGCATGTCCCGCTCGGCCAAAGAGGGGGTTTAGGAGTGTGGCTGGGTCCATTTATGAGAGTAGACACCGATATGCAGAGATAACTCTTACCAGATATGTGTCCATGTGCACCTGACACTATACCTCCATGTTCTGTTTGTCATTTTACATCAGGAAATTATAGGAAATATTGACATAGGTAAAAAGGAAATAAGCTCCCAAGCACTAAGAGTTTAGCACAGCACAATCCATAATAAGAAATCATTTCTTTACCAAATGCTATCTTTGCTACCAAACACCCACCCCCAGGCCATTCCTGTCTGCTCTGGGGTGTGGTCCTCTGAGGAGTCTGACAACCCCACTTATGGTTATATAGGAGGAGGATTTGCAAATTGGACCCCTCCCGCAGCTACAGAAAACAAGCCCAGCCTCCAATCTGCAGCTCTGGGAGAGGAGCAGTCCAGGTGTCCCCATTCAGTGATCTGGACCGAACACAGAGTCGCCATGGAGTCTGCGCTGCGCTGGGCTTTCCTTATTGCTATTTTAAAAGGTCATTTTATGGAGAGCAAGTGCATGTGAATGGGCATGAGTGAGAGAAACAGCGGACACATGTGACGGTTTCCTGACCAGGATGTCTCTGTGTTTACAGGTGTCCAGTGTGAGGTGCACCTGGTGGAGTCCGGGGGAGGCCTGAGTCAGCCTGGGGGGTCTCTGAGACTCTCCTGTACAGCCTCTGGATTCACCTTCAGCAGTTATGACATGAACTGGGTCCTCCAGGCTCCAGGGAAGGGATTGCAGTGGGTCGCGTACATTAGTGGTGGTAGTGGTAGCATAAGCTATGCAGGCTCCGTGAAGGGCCGCTTCACCATCTCCAGAGACAACTCCAAGAACACCCTGTATCTGCAAATGGACAGTCTGAAAGTCGAGGACTCGGCCGTGCATTTCTGTGCTAGAGACACAGTGAAGGGAAGTCCTTGAGCCCAGACATAAACCTCCCCTGCAAGGAGAAGGTTGGGCAGCAGGGGGCTCTCCGGACTCGTCGAGCTCAGGACTTAGTGGCAGGAGCAGGTGCTTTAAAGGCTGGTTTCATTCTGTTGTCTGATTGTTCTCGACCTCACGTTTCCCTCGGGAAAATCTCTCTAATTTTAAGGCTGTGTGCCTCCCCCTAACGTGGATGAATTCAAAAGTTGCACTGTAAGACGAGGAGGCATTTTTACATCCAGGAAAGCAGTCTGTCCCTTGTGGAGGGAAAGGACTCTGCCAGGATGCCCAGCCGTTCTGGGGATGCTGAGGGGAATCTCTGGGCTCTTTCCCAATCACACTCAGGACAGGTCGAGTTCGTGGGTAGCACTAACACTTAAGCACTCGACTACTCACTCTGAGTCTGGTGGTTTGAATCCACCCAGGAATGTCTTATGACAGGCCAAGTGATCTCCCTTTGAAAGGTCAGAGTTAGCGCTGAGATCTCAGTGCAGTTCCAGAATTAGGACACTCTCTGGGATTCAGGTCAGAGCATGAGAGTGGCTGGGTCACAGTCAGTGACATGTAAGAGCAGAATGAAGTTACATCTGAAGTCCACGTGCGGGAATCCCTCCTCCCAGGAGTGTTCACGTCAGAGTCAGGACTGACCCGGTGTCTCATTTCCTCCTAGTCCCTGTTCTCTGTCTCTAGTTCAGCCAGGTCACCTGACCCATGCTTGTCATGTTGTTAATACTGTATACCATACTTATTCCATCTGTGTGCTGAATGAATAATCCAAGAAGCTGGATTGTATGAAGAATGTGGCATTAGGTTTAGAGGTAGAGCTATTAACAATCTGGGATGTGCAGAGGTCACAATCTTGCTTGCTAAATGTGAAGATGACTTGAAGCACTTACTGATAAGAAAAAAGACTACAGTCTCCTGTATGGATTCCACCTCAACACAAAGAAAACAAAATTCCTCACAACTGGACCAATAAGCAACATCAATATGAATGGAGAAAAGGCGGAAGTTGTCAAATATTTCATGTTACTTGGATCCACAATCATCAACCATGGAACCAATAGTCAAGAAATCAGACATCAAATTGCATTGGGAAAATCTTCTTCTGTAGACCTCTTTACAATATTAAAGAGGAAAGATGTCACTTTGAGGACATGGTGCATCTGACCCAAGCCATGGAGTATTCAATGGTCTCACAGGCATGTGAATGCTGGGCAATGAATAAGTGAAACTGAAGAATTTGTGTATTTGAATTGTGGTGTTGGTGGAAAATTCTGAAAACACCGTAGAATACCAGAGTAACAAACAAATCTGACCTGTAGTCAGTTCAGTCAAAATGATCCTTAGAACTGAGAAAGGACAGACTGCATCTTACCTACTTTGGCCCTGTTGTCAGGAGGGACCATTGCTTGGAGAAGCATATCATGCTTGGTGAAATAGAGGGTCAGTGAAAAGGGGAAGACCATCAATGATATGGACTGACACAGTGGCTGCCACCATAATAAGCATAACAAAGATTGTGAGGATGGTGTCGGAGCCAGCAGCATTGAGTTCTGTTGTACATAAGGTCACTCTGATGGCACCTAACACCAACACCAACGACATGGACATTTTATTTGCCAATTAAATTTGAACATTAATAATCAGTGTGTTAAAAGTATGATTTTGTCTATGTCCTCCAAGAAGTAAACAACAAGGTGAGTTTCAATTTGATTGCATTTTATGGGGAAACACCTGTAGGAGAGAAAATGAAGATGGGGCTGTCATCTGATGGTGCAAGTAGGAGGATTCAGGGATGGACGGGGGAGTCTGGGTTCCTTAAGCTGCTCAGCAGTTAAAGGAAGAAGCTCCAGGAGCCCCATGGGGATCACAGACCCTTCAGAGTAGCCCGTGTGTCCCAGGATCTGTGTTGACTTAGGAATGCTGCCACTCCTGAATCTTGGGTGGGAGTATTCCTCAGATCTTGAATTTTCCTCACACACAGGGGATGGGATTTGGAACACAGCACTGGATCCTTGGCCAATGACACTCTCTGTGGTTGGAGGAATGAGAGTCATACTCTCAAGTCTGAAGCAACTTTATAGTGTTTTATCTGATAAAACATTGTCTTCTCTTGAAGACAAGCAGATATTGTGGATTGGCTGGTTTGCTGGATCTTACTGAGAGAGATGTTTCTTCTAGTCCTTCTCACATATAATAATTTCTAATCTTGTTTCTGACCAACATCCCTCTCCTCTTCTCCTTGAACTTGCGTTACAATGAAGATTGTCACACATATCTTGTTTATTTTTGACCCACCTCTATCATTTTATTGCTTTTTTTTTTTCTTTCTGGTGAATGATAGATTCTATCTGCCAAAAGATGCTACAATAATCACTTCCCTTCTATTAAGCATTCAATTAAAGTGGACGAGTTTGTGTGTATTTCCAGGTGAAAGTAGACACAGTATGCAAAGATAGGTCCAGTATACTTCATATTGGACTTGACTGGGTGGTTTATTTTGTTAAAACATCAAAATAAAAGTAATAGGAGTGTATTCCAAAAACCAAAATCAGTACCATAGAGACGTTTCTGACTAACTCCCAATTATTTCCCAAGGTTTTCTGTCTCTATGGAAGCAGACTGCCCCATCTTTTTCTCGGGAACTGCTGGTCATTTCAAATCACAGACCTCTTGTTTAGCAGCCAAATGCCTTAACCACTACACACCAGTGCTCCTCGGATTGTATTAGGAATGAGAAAAACCTTGAATTAAAACAATGAAATGAGTCTCACACAAGTCACAGAGGGTCATTCCCTTGGCACCCTGCTCATCCATTCAGTAAACAAGAGGACATGCACCCCACCCTGTATTGGTGACAGGATGGAAATGGGAAAGCACTGCTGACATTCACATCTCCCACCCAGAAAATCAAAACAGGGAAATTGCATTTTTCTTACCTGTAACCCATGATATCATTTTAAATCCAGAATTTTTGTCTAAAAGTCATGAAAGGCAGTGTAGACTAGTCAATCAAAAAGTTCTTAATTAATGCTGAAAGCATCCTGTTTTATACTTTACATAAAGTTAAGAAAGATTCTGATGAAAATGACACCCTGGATTCTGCTTATCACTTGGTGAACTGACTCAGCTGTGGCTGCAGGGGGTGGGAATATGTGTAGGGAACCTTCATAGTCCCAGGCAGGTATTGTGAGAGTTCTGAGTTCCCTCTAACAGATAGTTTACCTTGTTCCTTTCATTTTGTTTTCTCAATTTTAATCTCTTACTCAAGGGCTGTGCATAATGCTTTAACCTTAGCCTAGTGCTTTGCATGCCTTCATTGTGTTTTAAGGAAGAAGTAGAGCCTATTCCCTCATTGTCTCTCAATTAGCAACAAAAGAATGATCCCATAACCTCCTAAGTGCATCTGCATTACTGGATTGTCTCACAAAGCCTCTCCACTTTTCTCTCATCAGAGCTTTTCCAAACGTTCTCTGTCGATGTCATGATTGTAAATCAGCTCCTGGTTTTCCCGTTAATCCCCAAAAGCTGCCATCATCTTTGGTGATCTCAGTGTCTTAGTGACTCCTGTTCATCTCACCTGCTGCCTCAACTGTTTTCTCCCTCTCCTGGTATTCTTTGTTTCATCCAGGATCCATCTGACGTCAGCAGTGACATCCCTCCTTCCACGTCCTCTTCTGACTTCAGCTTACATTTCTGGAAGCTACGTATGTATGTATAACTTTGGTTTGGAAGACAGCTGCCAGGCCAACTGAGTGGAAGAGATCCATATTTGTGCCTATTCCAGAGAAAGCTGATCTGACAGATTGGAATGTGGAAATTATCAAACAATATCATTTATATAAATACACACACACACATATACACATATATACGTATATGTTGTTGTTGTCGTTTGTCAT